TTTTTTATATGAATAACGAAAAAAACGAATAATTCGTTTCTTTCGATACAAAAAATGGTTATATTTTCGATCATAATTTATTAACCAAAATTAAACAAGAATTATTAATTTATTTTCACGATGTTCAAGCTAATTATACATAAAAGTATTTTTTAATTTAAATTATGTTGTCTAAACTAAAATATCTCAAATTCAAATACAAATAAAAATAAAAATATAATAAAGTTAATAATAGAAAATAATGTTTTATGATTGATTTCATTTATTTCGAAAGATCTTTACTATATTTTTGTTACCAATTTAAGTTAGTATTGTGATTTTCGTTTATATACACAAAGAAACAACAATCTTATAATAATTTATCAAAAGGTTAATAAATAACAATCAAACAAATTGTTTCACCTTATTATGAAACATATATTTTAAATTAAACATATAATAATAACAGTTTTTGTAATTGGATTATATATTAAAAATTATAAAAATTAAAATTATTTTGAAATATAATAACATAACACAAAATAAATAATTGATTTTATTTTGTATTTGTCGAAATACAGTTCAATATCAAGAAGTGTGTCAAAGTGTTCAATATCAAAGTGTCGAGAATAAGATTTATAATGATAATTAAAACCATTACTTTTCAAACCTAAAAATATTTTATATATTATTTATTCAATTGTTTTGTCAATGCTAATTTTATAGTTTCTTTATATGATAACATACATTACACACCCATCACCATTACTTTAATTTTTTGCTTACAATGCATTCATTGCATTTCTGTGATTTTGAATTGTATCAATTTTAATTAGTGAGTCAATTTCATTTTATAAATAGGGGAACGTTTAAAAAATGAAAAATATGATTAAAATATAAAGAAAAAGTTGTTTTATTTTTTTAACAAATTGCACAACTCACCACATTTTTTACATTTGTAATGGTTATTTTAAAACTATACACCATAACACTCAGCACATTCATACTCTGAAAACGTCTTGCAATTGTCAAGTGGAGTGTAATTAAACACTTCTCAATTTCTCTTGTTATAAATTCCAAATCTTCATCATAGCTACATTTGACATTATATGTTACCCAATTTAAAAAGGTTTAGACAATTCAAAAACTTCCATTCATATTTCAAGCAATTTGTATTGATTGCTTAAAATGCAACCTGGTCGGCACCACCACTACTACTGTGGGTTGAAACAGTTTGCATTTCCCAGCAAGTTTATTAACAAAAATTCAAACATCGTCTGTTGTGTTAAAATTATACTCAACATCGTTTGTAACACAGCATTTCCATATCAACTTAGACCCTTTATGTCACATTGTAAACATTCAGTACAACTTGGATAACACCCATTGTAGCACTGTTCACACCCATTGATGTTGTTTTCTATCTGGTACACGGTCTTCACCTAAAAGTTACATATCAAATCACATTCACGATACATTTACAATGAGATTTATGTTTCGAATTGAAAACAAACGATGAATTTAAATTGTGCCTTTTTTCATTACTATAAATTATGTTTACATCATTTTTTTTCTTCGCAAATTGAACATTTTGAAATAAATGAGTAGACATTTTGGCGATGAGGAGTGGACAGATTAACACGTTTTGTGTCAATGTATATTCGGCATTCTTTACATAGAGCGCATTGTTTGTCTTTGTTCATTGTGTAAATTGTAGAATTGCAATCAATTTTCTTTTAATAATATTCACCACCTAAAAAGACAATATATATATTTGAACACAAAGTGCATCCATTCAATATCAACTTGAATATCAAACAATTTTAATGTAAAATACAATTTCAATAACAATAATCAACTTTTGTTGTGTGATTGTAATTAATGTAAATCAGTTTAAAAAATTAAACATGACTTTTGATTTAAAAATTTTAGAAGATAATTTGAATACTTTGATTTTAACACAAAATTGTTCTTTTTCCATTTATAATTAAAGGAAAAAATTGAATTGATAAAATTGAAAAAAACTGTTATTTGTAATAACGGGAAAAAACAGAAATAAATATTTAAAAATATTATTAATTTATTAAGAATGCCAATACAATATGAGTTTTATGACGTACAATACATTCGTTGTTTCCTTAAGTAATACAAAATTTCATTCATTATATCCTTATCTTTGATAATATAAGTACTCCAAATAAAAATATAACAATTAAAACATTTTACTAAATAATAATAGTATTTATTAATAATTAATATATAAAAAAGTAAAAAGTAAAAAAAGTACGAAAATCGAACAAACACAAAACAATAAACTGGAATTCCTAAGTCGACAGCACTTATTTTAATTTGGTCTATTTTAATGCAAAACATTGGGAAACACACTATTCTATTTATATTTTGAATTGACTTTCGATTTCAGTATATTGAGAAATAAACAAAGGAAAAAACGTTTACATATTTAAGTAAGTTTAATACACTTATTAATCAGTTGATTCCAGAGCTATTGAACTAATGGTTGAGTAAATTAACAACGACTTTATACCACCAAAGGTGTGAACTAAAATGAATGTTCAGTAGACCTACTGCTGTTCAAAAAATATTATTGTGAATATCAAACGGTTGTTTGTCCGGTTGTTTATTCCAATTTTAAAGTTTGTTACTTCAATAAATGCTAACATTTTTAGGAAAGTGGTTTTTGAATGAAGTTCTTTATGTGTTTTTCGACAATTGTGATGATGGTTATTTTAACAACAATTCAACCACAACTTCATTCAAATTTAAGAAGACTTAGCAGAATGCCACAATTACACTGATGGGAATAAATGCATCTTTTAGACAACAAACTAATATTTGTTTGAAAACACTGGAAATATGTTACAAACACCAGATGTATTTTTGGTTACTACAAAGAGTCAACAACAACATCTTGTGAGAAGTGCAAAATCTGGAAGCAATTGTTTTATGGGTGAGACGTACTCAAAATTTTTGTCTTGTATTGACAGATTCTATTTGGTCAATGAAGGAACGTGTTTTGCATGAAATACAATTGTTGTCTGTTGAAACTGCAAATCGACACTGCATGTATCACGTGAACAACTGAAAATTTCGACCAGACAAAATTTGCAAAAAGAATGTCCAGAAGCGTATTTTGCAAATGAAAATGTGTGTACTGTTTGCGTTGAGATTTACAAGACATGTAATGAAGAAACCAAGTGCATTGTTTGCAAATATGATGCTTTGATTATTGAATCCATTAAAAAGTGTGTGAAAGACAGTTGTCGAGAAATTTATAAGAAAGAAAGTGCTAAGAAAATGTGCAAGAGATACAAATAGTTTACAAATTCGACTGATTGTCAAGAGTTTGTTGCACCGAAAATGACAGAATAAGGAACAATGAAGTGTGTTAAAATGTGTAATAGATTCTTTAATATTAACAACAAAAAATGCGATAAGTGTAAAGAGAACTTTTTATTTCAGAAGACACTTACAATACGCCGTGCAAACAGGGCAACACTGGATGTGAAGTTTGAATGAACAAAAGTGGTCATTGTGAATTTGTGTTGCAGCTTTGGTATTTGTCTTGATGATCACATTCTTAGTTACTTTTTGGTTGATTATGGTTTAAAAATCGGTGTTTAACAATAACAATTCAAATTGATTATGTAATTATGTAATTATGTAATTATTATAATTGCAAATTACAAACAATGGAAACGAATATTTTAAATATAATATGTTACTAATAAATTAATTTGGCTCAATTCATTAGTCTTAACTGAATATTGAGAAAAAAATTCATTTTGCATCTCCATCTCTTAAAATACATTTTATTTATTATTTGATATAATATATTATTAAAAATATAGTAAATAGGAATTATAGTTCATAGTTAATCTGATTTATGAAATAAAAACTTGCAGAACAGTCAGTGGATACCGAGTGATATAGTGCTTTGATAAGAAGTCTTATAAACCGCACTCAAACAGTACTTTATTGAAACTTTATTTTTGTTAAGGTGGTGGAAAAAGCAAATCCCAAATATTTACAATTACAACTGTATATTATAAATCATAGTAAATTAAATTATTAAATAATTATGATAAAAATGAAATTTATAATTAATAATAATTGCAACTTAAATATTGATAAGGCAATAAAAAAACAAATATTAGACCCTACGACTAAGATCATTCTCAGATCATGTCACTTTCTATTAACAAATAGAATTTAAAAAATAGGATGAAGACTTTTTAACACTTTAGTACCAAATAGAGATACGTAGCAATATAATAAGAAATTTTCAAAAAGCATTTGTGGTCTAAGGGCAGAATTCCACCCTTCCAAGGTGGAGATCCGGGTTCGAGTCCCGGTAAATGCATTTTTATTTATCAAACAAATGGGTACCAATTTTTCAATTTTTCTGTTATTATACTGTAATAATTGGAAACTTCACATTTTCATTTTTCAGCAATATTATTATTAAACACTTTATTAACACTTTTAATGACACTTTTGGGTTTAATGATTTTAATATTCTCAACACAATTTCTGTTACTTTAAATAAACTATTCATTTAATTCGACCAGACTTTTAATTTGTTTTAACATTTTAGAATTATTAATTGTATTTAAAAATTAATAAAAACAGAACTTTTTTCTTTTGATAACTTCGGTTGTTAAGTGCAAGCAATAAACAATTTTTCACGACTATCTGCACGTCTTTAATTTTTCCAATGAGTCGTTTTAATGTCTTGCATGATTACACGTGTATCTTTGAGACATTTTCCCCAACAATTATTTCCTCCAAATTGTCACACATATTAACTACAATTTTTTCGACATTTTTATTACAAACAACTTTCTTGCACTTTGCCCAACTCACGCGCGTCTTTTTCTTTTGCGCTTCAAATACAACTTTTTTGTATTTTTTTCTTCGTAATTTCTATTTATTTTTAAAGACTTTGTACCGACTATTTTCTTGAAATCAATATTTTTTAAATCAACAAATTCGGTCTTGTCGTTGAGTATCAATTTGTCATCACAAAACTTAACACTTCTTTCAATATAAACGCGTTTTGCAGGCAATTCGGATAAATTTGTTATATATGCCGCTTTCATCACATTTATCACAACATTTTCATTGACATTAAATTCAAAATTATAGATATTGTATTCTTTATATGGATATTTTATATAAAAAGCACTCAAATTGACATGACCAAATACCTTCACCTTGTTACAATGTTTTGAGGTCTCACGAATTTCTTTATCTTCAATAAGTTTTGAGTACTTTTCTTTTGAGTATACAATATATATATACATTCACCAACAACAGATTCAACTTCTCCACAAACGACTCTGACACAACAGTCTGAAGTTATAAAAACGCGCTTTGCCTTCTCAATATGAATTTCGTTGATTTCATTCATTTCGCTGTTGTTACAAATTTCTACATCATAATTTTCAAAAGATGGAATTATATTGGCATTTTCAAAAGTCACCATCGTGAGTTTTCCATTAGTAAAAGTTACTCCATTCATAACATTGAATTCATCTTCATTATCATAATTTTGATTATTGTCAAACTCTCGCAAGCACTCATTTAAAGTGTTTTTAGGAACGTTTTTAAATTGCACAAAATGTGATTTTGATATTTTCAAAACCCCTTTAAAAGACGTGTAAATATCAGAATCAGTGAGGTACCTAAAAAAAGTTTTCATTTTGAAAGTGTCAATTTGTCTGTTTGTAGTATACAATAGAAACTTTATCGCAACGCCAAAAGTCGACATTTCTAAATTCACAATTTGACATCACAAAATTTGTGCAACTCTGATTTTTCATATCATTAATAATACAATTAATAAAGAAAATGTTATTTATTTCAAAAATTGTGAAACGCATAATGTGATACTTTGTGTGATTTTCAATGTTAATGTTGTTTGATGTTTTCAGTTTAATCTCGTAAATATATCCAAATATGTCAATTTTAATATGTGAAGAATAATGGCAACATGATGTGTCGACTGCACTCATTAAAATATTAAGATTTGTGCACTTCACAATATCTATTCTCATTGCAAATATATTTGATATTTTTATGTCTGAGATGTTAAAAAGGGTCAATTTTGCGATTTGGTGAGTGAGAAACGCGATATCAGTCACAACATCGTCCAATAACACTAATGGACATGTTATTAAAATTGGTGCGCAAACATCTACAATTTGAAATTCATCACTTGATATATTTTGAGTTGTAATCTTTTTTAATAATTCCAAGTGTTCATATGGACCTTCAGTTTGTATTGTATTTTTTTCATTTTCATTGTCATCGTTTTCACTATTCACATTCACTATTTGCGTATTGTTCTTTTTCTCTTGTTTAATAAGATCATTTTGAATTGGAGTATTTTGGTCTTTTATTAATAAATTATCTTGTTCAACATGTTCTCTTGTGTTTTTATTAATGTTTTCTTTAATTATTTCATTCCACTTTCATATCCATCATTTCCAAATTGGTCTTCTATTACGATTTCGTTGTCACTTTGAAAAGTAACGGAATCCATACCTTTTACATTAGTCACAGCTACATCCCCAAAATATCTCAAATTATTAAGAACACTGCAGTGGCCCACTACATTCTCCTCGCAACCAAAAACTTCAACATTTTGTTGCCGAAGCATCAAAGTTGCAACATTAAATTCCTTTTTAAGTATTTCTCGTATTGCTGTTTTTTCAATGAAAATTGAAACTTTAACCGTTGCTAATTTTTTTCATACGACGATGATTTATTTGCTCTTCTATTGATGATAAGAAGGTTGGGTGTGTGCAATTCCAAATTATTATTTTTGTGACGCTTTTCAGTTCAAAATCCTTTCCAAAATGTTTGGCTTGCGAATCCACCCATTCATGTGAATACTTTTGAGGTTGGTGTAATTGTCAGTAGGCAACAAATTGTTGTTTTTGGTGCCAACATAGCAATTTTCTATTTTTGAAAGAGCACTTGTGACTTTTTGTGGGTGGAAATGTGGCAAATGAATGTGATTATAATCATTCCTTTTGTTGTGTGTTGTTTTCACAAGACGTATTTTCTTGACTTTTCTGATCAGTTTGTTGTCGTTATCCAACATGTAGTCATAACATTGAAGGGTTTCAATCTTTGAAAACGCTTTTATGATGAATTCGAAAATCGAAGAATATAAAACCTCACATGGCTCTTTAAATAGAGCAAAAGTTTTAATTTCTAAATTGATAAAAGGGTTGATGTATAGACTTTGCATACACTCAAAACTTTTCTTGTTAACTTGTTCAAAAGTTTTGAGAGAATCCATTGTGTTAATGTTTAAAGATACGTTCATCATATACACTCGTTCTAATTTACTCATCTTGTCAATATTTTTCAAGTTTTTAATTTAATTATTATTTATTATAATAATTTTTTATTAATAAATTTGTTATGATTCGTTTATATATTGATAATATACGTCTTATTTGAGCAATAAAAGCTGTTTACAGTCTGCCGATTCTACCTTCTGTAAAAATCAAACTTCTGCAGATTGTTTTTGAAAAACAATTGAAAATATCATATTTGAATATACACATATAGACATGATCAATACATTTTTTGCAACGAATATTCTTATAAAAAATAGCATTTTTAGACACTCTGGGTTAAAAGGTGTTTCTTTCATTGGAAACTATTCGACACAATTATTAATAACACGTTTTATGATCTGTTATTAGTAATTGTAGTAATGGAGCTGATGGCGCCATCATGAGATGTGGGTTGTTATTCGTTTTAATACAATAATTACATTACAATAATATGACTATTACTATAACTATACCATTGATTATTATAATAATATATTAGTATATTAAATTATTATTAATACTATATGTAAAACCATGTTAAGTATTATTAATAATATTACTAATCTTATATTATTATTATAATGGCAATTAAAAAATTTAACTTCATTGTATCGAGAAAAGTGCTATTTAACTCATAACTATGCCAAAACCACGTCACTAGTCATAAAATAATTTATGTAAAAAAACGCAATACAAGTATTAATAGAGTCGAAACACATGGGATTTTGTAATTTTTCTAAAATAAGTTGTTTTGTTTGATTATTTGAAAGCCAGTGTTTTTTAAAAAACAACAAATACATTTTCTGTAAAAATAAAAATAAATAAGCTAAAGTTCATTTGCTGGGCAAAATTCAAAAACTTAATTGTATTTAAAAATTTATTCAGTCTTTCTATCAACTAAAATCTCGATAACTTTAATGACTTTTAATGTAA